ATACCATTAATTGCGGAACAAATTAACAAGTAGTTTCAGATATTTTTTGATGATAAAAATCATACATTAGTTTATAAAACTGTTTTCTATCTTTGCTTATAAACTTATGATTACTGATTAGAACTTGTAAAGCTTTTAATTGATTACAATAATATGACGATTAGCTTTGTATCTTTGAATCAGACATGATGAATAATAAAAGAACAAAAGTTGTTATTTAAATAGTTTCAAGCATGAATTTGATTAAACTTGATTATTATTAATGCGAGTATTATTTTAACAAAAATTTCAAACTTTGTAGAATTAATAGTTAGTAACTCGAAATGAGATTGCATAGATAATACAACAATTGAATAAAATTCTTTTATAATTACCTTCTTTATAAATACAATCAGAGCATCCGTCGGAGCAAGTATGATTTGAAAATCTAAAGATTTTGAACATCTAGAAGTAGATAGAAGAACTTTTTCTTAGACATGAACTAAACATTAGAGAGAAATTTAATGATAGAAATTTTAGAGAACCTAGAGATGATTCTAATTAAAACATATCTCCTCAATATATATGAGTCTGGAGTCTTGAAATATCTTGAAACGGGAAACCGAAGGATTACCGGATCAATCTTGAGAATTATTGAATCAACTTGCATTTGTCGGAGTGTAGACAAAACTGTAAAGCTTTTGACAAATTGGCATCATATTTTGTCATTTTTTGATAATGGAAAATCTTCTTTTGCGATAATGGAGCATCTTCTTTCATCTTTGTAAAAGTTGTTTGTTTTCGTGTAATAATTTAACATCTTATCTCTGCAGAAGATTTGATAATATTTTTTGATAATTGATGTACTCCCACAGTGTATAAATTTGATAACAGTTGAATAAATACTAACACAATTTGATAACACGTAGTACTACCCCCCCTTGAATAACAAACACTTTTGCAAAATACCTAAAAATGTATGACACCAAGGGTGGAGGGTGAAATACGAAATGAAAGAATACCTTACATTGAGGTATAACACCAAAATTAAAATTTAATTAATCTGCAAATGGATCATCAAAAGGATCTTGAGCATCTTGAAAATTATTTTGACAGATGTGGGAGAATTTTCTGAATTAGTTGGAGAATTGCGAATTTCTTTGAAGTAATTGTTGTAGATCTTCAGGGGAAGAATTGCAGCGGCACGAATTTTGCTAATAAGATTAGCATCTGGAGAAGATAGACTCTTGATAAGATTCGCTTCAATTTCTGGCTTTTGATTATACATTGATTGATAATGATTGAAAACAGCCTGCTCGTTTGCTTGAGAAATTGTGACTTTATCCCACCATTTTAGACGAAATTGTCTATTGAGCCAAGGGGGATTTAAGTCTGTTGCTTCTTGATAAGAGAATGTCCAGGACATGATCCATGGAACTTTGAATAACATGGTGAACTGTAACAAATATATCAAATTCTGGGATTTGTTGAATAAATAGTTCTTTGAATTTAGAAAATCCTTTGAGAATTTCAGTGGGTAAACAAATAGGAACAAGTCCCATATAACGATACCAATTGACAAACCATCTGGGGTATTCACAGTTGAAATTTTTATCAAAGAAAATGAACCATGAATGAGAATAGTTTCGAAGAAAAAATGCTTTAGTCCAAGCTTCTTGGTAATCATAATATGAATATCTTGGATAAGCAGGGAATTGATAAAGGGGTTTTTCGAAGGAAAGATTGGATGACCAATTTTCTGGAGAAATGATTTTAAGAATTCGGGCTTTGCTAAAATCAATAGATCCTTCCTTATTATTCAGATTCTTGTAGAACGGTGATCAATCTGGATCTGTTCTCCGACAAAATATGATGCCAATTTGTCAAAAGCTTTACAGTTTTGTCTACACTCCGACAAATGCAAGTTGATTCAATAATTCTCAAGATTGATCCGGTAATCCTTCGGTTTCCCGTTTCAAGATATTTCAAGACTCCAAGACTCCTATATATTGAGGAGATATGTTTTAATTAGAATCATCTCTAGGTTCTCTAAAAATTTCTCTCATTAAATTTCTCTCTAATGTTTAGTTCATGTCTAAGAAAAGTGTTCTCCTATCTACTTCTAGATGTTCAAAATCTTTAGATTTTCAAATCATACTTGCTCCGGACGGATGCTCTGATTGTAATTTAAAAGAAGGTAATATATAAAGAATTTTATTCAATTGTTGTATTATCTCTATGGCAATCTCATTTCGAGTTATTCTAACTATTAATTCTACAAAGTTTGAAATTTTTGTTAAAATAATACTCGCATTTAATAATAATCAAGTTAATCAAATTCATGCTTGAAATATTTAAATAACTTTTGTTCTTTTATTATTCATCATGTCTGATTCAAAGATACAAGCTAATCGTCATTATTATTGTAATCAATTAAAAGTTTTACAAGTTCTAATCAGTAATCATAAGTTTATAAGCAAAGATAGAAAACAGTTTTATAAACTAATGTATGATTTTTATCATCAAAAAATATCTGAAACTACTTGTTAATTTGTTCCGCAATTAATGGTATATATATATATATATATATATATATAATATATATATATATATGCATTGGAGGATGATGAGGTGGTGTTCGTAAGGTTGTATGCATGCATTGGAGAATTGAAAAATGAAGTTACATAAGGGTGGAATGATGACATGGCAATCTTTACAACTCTTATAAAGTTTGCTTTGAAAAATGAAGTTGTATGAGAGTGGAATGATGACATTTGTTCAAACAGCTGTAAATAGATGATACCTAGGGATATTAAATACAACCTTCTAAGAGTGCAATGAAAGGAAATGATACATTTGATGCCACTACAAAGCTATAAATACAGCAGATGAAAAAGAAAAGACAAAGTAATACAGATTCAACCTTCTAACAGTACTTGTTAACTTTTTCCAAAAAGAAAGAGGAGCAGAAACACCACAATTTAAAAAAAAAACAAGAGCTGAAATAAAAGAAAAAACATGATGATAAAGAACCTCATAATGAAGAAACATAAAAATCCTAGTTTTCAAATATGAAAAAAGTGTATAAGGAACCTTTGCCTTTCAAAGATGAAAACCCTACATTACAAGATTGTGTCTCTAAACTCTATCATTTGAAACAAACAGAATACAAACAACTTGAAGAAATTTTCAAACTGACTAGACACTCACATGAAGATCAACAATTATGCTTCCAAGGTGTGAAGACCTATCATCTTGTAGAAACAATTAGGTGATTATGGGATATATATATATATATATATATATATATATATATATATATATATATATATAAGCATCAGCCATTTAAAAAAGAACTTAATAGTTAGCAGAAACATCACAAAGAGGCCTATCAGTGTTATCGATGGCGATAGCGAGGTCATAGCGACAACCTATCTATAAGCTATGTCGTGATAGCGATCAAATAGCGACGACTATTTCATTTTTAGAGAATACCTATTAAAAAATTTATACTACTATTACTTTCACCTAATTAGCAATTATAACTAATAAATAAGCTAAAAACCCCAAGACTATTAACTCAAATAAGTTCTAAAACATGCATACTACCAAAAAAGACTATTAATCTTTGATTGCAAGAGAAATCGCAGGAAGAAGGAAAGGAGCTGGCAATAGTTGAAGAAGCGGAAGGGAGGCTGGGTCGAGAGAAGAGCGTATGAACCTTCTTTGACTTAGTCAACTAAAAAAACCCTAAAACGGGTCTATAGATACCGTATTAAAAAAAAAAAAAAAAAAAATCAAGAACGTCGCTATTGAGCCCATAGCGACCCTTGAACGCCTCGCCTCGCAAAACGCAATAGTGGTCGCTATGCTCGCTATTGATATCACTGGGCCTATGTTATACAAGAATAATGACTAAAAATACAAAAACATCATTAATCATGGCAACTAAGAAATAACTATTACATAATGATCAAAAAGAAAACAGAGAACATTACACATTTGTTCACATAAGACATGAAATAACCAACACATCAAAAGGAAGAGAAGATTAAAAAAAACATAATTTAAACTATCACATAAAGACCATTATAGAAAGGAAGATACTTCAAGAAAGAGCATGATCAATCGAATATAAAAAAACAATTACAAAAAAATTAAAATCAAATGCTTCCAAGATTTTCTTTGTATAAAATGAAGAACATGATGAAAAACGAAAAACCAATAACCAGGAAACTCAAAGGCCCTAATTTTCAAGTAGGAAAGAATCATATAAAGAACCTCTGCCATTCAAAAACCAAAACCCTTTGAAAATTTTAATCAAAGAACAAGACATTTGCTAGAAAAAAAAAGGCATGTGTTAAAGAGACATTTCTTGGGCTAGCTTCCAAATCAACAAATCCAAAATCTTATTCAACAAAAAGAAAATATATTAATATGAGATCAATAAGCCGTTTAATGAAGATTGACTTTACAGAAAGTAGGGTAAGAGCTATATAATAGATAAGATGCACATGAATAAGAATAAAGGGGATAAATAAGAATGGACAAACCAGACTAACTGCAATTGACAACCATGCATCAGCCGACAAAAACTAAATTTCAGTAAGCATATGTGTATTTTCCTCCACTTTAGCAATTGTATAATAAAAAGGTTACCTATGGAAAAAGTCATTAACTTAAGAAATAGATGTCAAATATCTTGCGATTTGACAACAACTGAATCTTTGAATGAAAAAATACAATTGGTGCCAATGTTTTTTTGGCTTAACCTATTAAGTCATTATGTCGAAATTAAGTCAAAAAGTAACAACCATATGCATTAAGTCATTAAGTGCTTAGCGCATTAACTCAAAAAGTAACAGGGGCTATTAAGTATTACCTCAAAACTTTTTAGCAATGGCTGCTATCCAGGCTCTATCTTTATCATTATATGCATAACTAATGCTAGATGCCAACAACACAAACCCTGTAATCTTGTCTTTAAGCACAGGCAAAACCAATAGAGAACGTGTCTCTTCAGGAAGCAAGTCCCAGAGCTCAGAATCTGAATTTTTTTTAGCACATTTGATTACTTTTATCAGCAGAATTACTAGAAATCTTTTGCAAAGAGCAGATTTGCTCAGCGCCTTCAGGGATGTTTGCTTGAATCACCGGAGTAGCACCCTGAATTTGTTTTTCTTTGTAAGTATCAGGTTGACAACAAAGAACCAGAAGAAAATAATAAAAGCTTCACCTTTAGAAACTGCCCAATGTAGGGAAGCATGACGGAGAATGCTGCCAAAGAAAGACCAAGTAACTCGGTTCTCTGAAAAAGCCATACAAATTAAACAAAATCAATAGGAAAGGAAAGGTTAAACGTTTTATAAACGTATATGTAAAGATTTTGAACCAGGACCTCTATGCTTCAAAGAGGATATATATAACTTCTTTCGGATGTTCAAAAATCAAAATCCTGATTCAAATAAATTACTCACAAGCTGGACCGGCGTCACGGTGGTTGAATTCGAACCCAGGAAGTGATTCAAAATCAGAAGAGATCCAAATGTATAGCCAATCCATCTGGGTAAATACGATTCGTCCAATCCAGGAATCCCTAATGTGAAGCGAAGAACAGATAGATTGAGCTGTTGCTGTTGATTTTGAGAATTGTCGGCGCCAGAGCAACTTATTTTGGATGATTTTCTTGTGTTTGTGAGAATATTGAAAGTGTTGAGGGTATTGAATTTGGGGGCAAATTTGGAGAAAATAGTGGAGGGAGTAAGGAACAGGGTACAGCTATGGTTCATTTTGAGGGTAGATTCTGCGTCAACTGTTGTAGACGATGTAAGCGGTAGAGAAGTTGAGATTGGCCAACATTAACAAATAGTTTATCAATCGTAAGAACTAACAACTTACAAGTCCTTTCCTGCTGGGCCTGCTCTGGTTGTGTGCGGTGGCCCAGGCCCGTAGTTTTAAAAGGCCCAAACTTTAGTATAAATATTCGCCTGGTACTTATAGTTTGGACCTCGGATTTGGAGGCAAGAGCGATACATAAAAACTGAAATCCCCAAGGCCTAAATCGTAATATCTATTCTCTTGATGTCGGTTGCTTTCTAAACAACGCATTCATCTCAAGTTTCTCGATTCTGAACTTCTAATCAGGTAATTAATTTTCTCAAATGTTTCTATTACGCCTAACCCTCGTCTTACCATGTATTTTTATTATTATTATTTAAAAATTGTTTTTTTTTTCCAATGAAGTTGATTACTACAACTTGATTGGCTTGGAATCTTAATTCTTTCTAACAGTTGATGGTTATTTTGGATATTTAAACACAACAATGAAACTGGATTGGTTGTTTAATCAATCTTTAACTATGAAGCCGATTTGAATCGTTTCTGGAATAAGGTTTGCTATATAAGATATTTGATGATTATCTTTGGGTTTTCCAGCTTTAACAACTTTGAATCTTGATTGCGTCATATTTATGTGGGATGGTAATTATAGTGATCTTTTCTCCAAGTGTGTCAACTTAAAAAACCTTACCTTACATCATTTTATAATCAACAAGGTATTTGATATCATTACACTCCGTCTTTGTAATCTCGTCCTTAACTATGTCAATTGTTCAAAAACCATCAATGTGATTGCACCTCAACTTGAGAATCTCACAATCAACGATTGCTCAATCCACTACTTGAATGTTTCACAACAACTTTCATCCTTGTGCTACACATCATGGGTGGGGTGTTGTGTACCTTTGTGTTTCTCTAATCATGCCTTTCTTTCTCTAAACAACGTGACTATATGTATGCATGATTCATTTAAAAACACATATACGGAGAATGATGCTCGCACGACTTTTAACATGCTTCAAAAGCTCCATAGTGCCAGATTTTTAACTCTTAGTGCTGAGACTCTTGAGGTATATTCATATTCAAGCTGAACTTGAATTATTTTATGACACTTTCTTTTCTTTTTTATGTATTTATTTCTTTGTCAATATTGTGCAGTGCATTTCCTCGTTTCCAGATTTGTTATCGCACCATTCGTCACCTTTTACCAATTTAATTTGTGCTTGACTATAGACTCCAGCATTATGAAGGATAAGGATGTTGCATACAAAGTTAAAATTGTCTACTCAAGTTAAAAACTTTTTGCTTGACAACTCTCCAACCGCCGTTTTGATCATGAAATAACCCAACAAAGGTACTTCATTTTATATATTACGCATCACACAACTTACAATTCCAAGCGTTATTTAGCTTGACACGTGGTTTACAAAAAATGCCAGACTTAACAAATTTGATATACACCCCTATCTAGCTAGCTGACTACTGAATGGTTATTTAGCTTGATACGTTTATTTTCTTAACATGTATCTCAGGTTCGAAGAAGAAGAAGATGATGGACACACGAAGCTTAAATAGTGGATTTTTGTTTTTCCATTGCAATTTGGCAGGCACCAGGCTCTTTTCTTGTTTTGCTTTTATAACGTTCGGCTGGCATCAAGATTTAAATAATTTGTAATTTATTTAAAAATAGGAATGCTGACATCAAGATTTAAATGATCTGCAATTTAAATAATTTATTGGTTATTTGGATTTAACTGTAGACCGAGTAAATACTACTTTATTCGGTTAATATTTTGGAAGATCAATACCCCTAATTGTCCTGGTTATAGTTACATAGGGCGTGTGTGGCAAAATTAACGGGAAGCATATGTTTAAACCTAAACTAGAAAAGGGGCCATCAGTATGAAGTATCCTAAAATCAGAAAATTACATGTCAGCATGTTAATTGAACACAAATAAGAAGACAATTCTTCGTTGAGGGAAATTTAGAATACAAACACATGCCTAAGAAGTGACTAACATTCATTCATATGGGATCTTGAGTGGTGACATTTCCTCAATCGCCTGTTTGATATAATGTTGCCTGCAAGAAATGAGATGACTAACATTCGTCTTTTGTATATTTACGCAAAATATATACTCAACCACCTTCAATTCATTCTTTCACTATAGTGAAATCCAACCCTATTAAGTCATGGAAATAGAGGACACATGTTATACACAAAACAACACCATAAATAAATAATAACATACCATACCTGATTCAGTACCACATAAGATCATGTCATTGACTGTAAGCATGCTTGTAATCTTGCTCCCTGCTGATAACCTTCCAACTTTATGTTGTGTCCCTCTCAACCAAATCTGTTATTTTATCAACAATACATTACAAAATTACAAATATACCCTTCTTACCATTTTTTTACTAATGTAATATAATCACTCACCTCTAGGTTGCTTGGTGAAGAGGTAGTGTTTGAATATATTAAATCCTCCACAACACTCATTGCCACCACATTTGTTTTTTTCTCTGGCATAATACTTCTCCAATTTGTTGCATTATTTAGGTTATTAGTTATAAAGTTATTAAATTTATTAAATGATCATGTGAATGGTTATATTATTATTATTCAGACCTTAATTCTTGATCCATCAATGCAACTACTTGCACCATATAGCCAATCTTTATGTACTTTCATTATTAATCTTCTTCCCCAAACTCGATATAACTTTTGATGGTGTCAATAACACATGTTGTTAAACACAAAGCGGATAGGATAGTATAAATTTTTATGATAGAATGGATTCTGAATCTAAATAACAGATTACAAAAATGTAAATTAACAACACCTTGAATGGAAGTACAATACCTGTGTATTTTGTTCTTGAAGCATTTGGTCGAGTTTTGGGATAATCCAATCCTCAAACTTACAGTAGCTGTCAATAAATTACCAATACAATTTAGTCCTTTTGAACGTAAGGCAGCAGCAGGTAGAGAAAATTCACCTTTGTATGTGTCTGCAAGACATTTTATAAGATCTTCTTCAATGCCACCTGTTGTTGTCACAATCACATCAACCTGGATTTAATATATTATAACACAAGTCTTTATTTATAAAAAGAATAAAACTCAGTCTGATATGATATGTTTGTTCTCAAGTATGAAAGTTGTAAATTACTAACCATACGAACCAGAAGAAATGAGGTTTGAAGTGAACCCTGGAAAGATTTTGCACTTGACAAACTCTCTGTATGCTAGTTTACTCTAATCTTCACCGCAATCTCATGTTACTTGCTAATCAGAAAGCCTCCAATCTAGCTACAATCATCAAATAGGAGGAACCCATCAAGATCACACAAACATGAAAAACGATATAAGGTAGTAAAGAATTTGAGAACAAAGCACTTAGCTTTCAATGGCATCACATAAATTAGAAGCTTCGAAGCCTGTAGAAATTAGGGATTTGAGAGTCTGTGATAATTAATCCCATTGTTGAAAATTACCCAGGGAACGCCAGACATATGCCGAAACCCTAAATTTGGTGTGCAACGGCCGGCAGAGAGACAAATGTCGGTGGAGACGTGGTCTGAGGGGTAAACGATGCGGTGGTGCGTACCTTAGCAGGAGGTCCGTTTGTACGTTGGTGGTTTGTTGCCGGCCTTTTCGGCTTGATCTTTTCAGTTCCATCTTCTTCACAGCAATCCACCTCCGATTCTGAAGCACATTCACCTGCTCTTATCTCTTTTATCTCTGACCAGGAAAAGCAGTAGCAAATTCTTAGGGCTTCTTTTGTGGAGACTCGATTTCTCCAGTGGGTAGAAGACTACGACGGGGGTCACAGGAGAAGTCGACGCCGACGATTCACACTGAAAGAGGGAACACGGGTCCTATCACTCTTAGCCAGAGCCATCTTGTTGTGAGCGACGGAGAAGGAAGCAGTTGCGATGGTATGGTGACCGGCATAAGAAGGTACGGGCGACGGTGGTAGCATAAGAGAGAAGATAAAGAGTGGTGGTCGATTGCAGGATTTAGGGGGTGTTTCGGGCAAAAGTCCTTTTTGGCAAAAAAGGTACGAAAAGTCAGGATCAAAAAGTTATCAAAAATCCAAAAGCTGGAAAAGTTGCTTTTAAAATGCTTTTTCAACCATCTTTTGCATTTTATTTTTTCTAAAAATAACTTTTAACCTCTCAAAAGATAAGTCAAACACCCTCTTAAAATTGGAGAGCGAGGAACAGCCTGATTGTCGGTAGAGCGCCATTAAAGTAGATCGAATGAAGATGACGGTGAACAAAAATCGATGTTGGCTCAAAACCGGCTGATTTTATTGTATATATAATAAATTCACATTTGAAATAAAACCCTAAATTATTATAATTTAGAAATCTTCCATAACTCTATCCTATTACAAAAATTAAAGTCATATGCAATGGACGTGTTTGGTAAAAGTAGTTGTTAGCTGGAAGCGGGTAGCGGTTAGCTGGTAGCGGGTAGCGTGTAGCAGGTAGCTGGTAGCGGGAAACTGTAACTTTTATTTGTTATATGAATGTTTGGCAAAAGTAGCTGGAAGCTTTTGAAATATATAAAATTACATAAAATGACAATTGATTAAAAATAAATAAATATATAAATATATTTTTAAGGGTAATTATGGAAATCGATTTCAAAAGCTCAGTAGCGTTTTGTTAAAAGCTACATGAAGTAGCTTTTAGAATTCGAGCGTTTTGTTTAAACTAAAAGCTAAACGCTCGTACCGCCAAACAAAGATTTTTGTTTAAACTAGAGCGTTTTGTTAAAAGCTAAAAGCTAGAAGCTCCCAAACGCTTCCAAAAGCTCCGTGCCAAACACGCCCAATGTCTTGAGTATGGGTTGAAAATTAAACTGGGTTCTCCAAGAAACCTCACGATAAATTATAAAAACAAAACAAACATCCACCGCCTTCTTGAACATGGAGGTTTTTTTGTGCAAGTCTAACTAAATGGTGTCACCATTAAACCCAAGAAAACATTTACTCAATAACAAAAACTAAAAATATTATATAAAATGTTTTCTCACTATTCCACGGTACATTAAAAGAACAAAAAAACATATCATCTTCAACGTTGAACCCTAGTTTACGATCACTTCCAAAAACATCATATCTCTAGCTTCAAATGACCTTTTCCTTTCTTTTCCCAACTGTTGAACTCTCTCCAGTGTTGATGTTCTCACCAGCAGCAACTGATCCACCAAGTTGTATTGGTGCATTCTTCATGACGTTGTTGAGTAACATGAGCATGGCATGTTTATCTAGGTTATTTTGGTAACGGAAAACCCACAACTGGATCATCATCTTCTCTTTAACAGAGCGATCAATCAAAACCTGCTTCCATTGAGTTTTGAGGCATGACGCACCTCTTCAGGTCGCCTAAAACCAAATCAACTTTGTAGGCAGGGGCGTAGCTACAGTATGTGAAGGTGGGTCCTAGGACCTACCTTTTTTCTTTTTTAATACAACAATTCTATATAAAAAAACATAAAGAACTACTTTATTTTTGACAAAAGACCTACATTTTCATATTTTTTTCCATTTCATTTATATAAGGAACCACGTTATTTTGTTTCTAGATTCGCCATTGTTTGTAGGCGTTTACTTTGAGTCCACCAACATACAAATCAACTTTTTCATCCTGCAACACCAAAAGGTTCAAAATCTTTTTCTGTTTGATCATGAAGAGAGGCATCAGCAGAGTGTTTCTTCGTGGAGTTTCATCACTCTTGGAGAGTTCTTTCTCTGGGGTAAGCTCAATGAATCACTCTCATGAAATCTTGAACGACAAGTGGGTAACATTCAGGGTTTTGGAAGTCTTCTGCCACATCAACAAGTGCTAGCCATTTCTTGATTCGCTTTATCTCATCAACTTTTTCCTCCACTGTCAGTTGACGGAATTGCTTGTCATCTCCACCAGCCATTCTTGATGTGATGTGAAGTTTGTGTGTGTGCGCGAGTTCTTGTTTTTGAATATTGCTTTTTTACGGATATATCAGCGAAGAACAATATTTAAAAATAGACCTAGGCTACGACGTATTGTAAATTGTGCATCTCAACTTGTACAACAGTTTCCACGTTGGTTACTGCAAATAAAAAACATATATATTTACACAAAATACCCTAATATATATGTGTTAAAGTTCTATTTTTCAACTTTTAATTTTTAAATAGATTGTTTTTGTCAAAATAATGATCTCAAAGTTTTTGATATATGTTGTAAAAACTTGTGCTGTATATAAACGTTATTACATAATTACATTCTATAGATGTTTGTCTCCTTCTAGATGGAAGAAGCATCATGCATGTATGAGTTGAACAAAATTTATAAAACCATTAATCTTTTCAAACACTATCAAATTATATCTTTCTCATTTTTTAACGTTATATTTCTACAAAAAAATATTTAACGACTATATATATTTGTAGTTTTGTATTGCATATCCGAATATTTGGTTACATTAAAAGAAACTCATAAATTACATACATACGATCTAAATATACCAATTAAGCAAACTTATAAATAAACACATAGTCATCCACATCACATCGGTTAAATTTAAGTTTTAAAATTGCTTTAAAAATGTTGCCAAAACTGCAAAAGTATTATTTAGATTGATTAATCTCTCTGCATATTGTTCATTTGAATGTGTCATTCCTCTTGCTGCACTCTATAGTTAACTAGTTAAGCAAATCAAGTTGTTAAATGGTGAAGGATGAGTAATGTATGATCATCTTTGTTGTTGTAAGCAAAGAAACTAATCACACATTTTAGGGGAAAGGAAGGGAGGTAGGGACAAACGACTTTTAATTAATTGCAATGATTTCAAACTGGGACTAGTCTATTTGGTTAATAAGATGGTCCGGGTTTCAATCACATATATATGAGAAAATATTATTATTTTCGGTTCAAAGAAAAATCAACCATATTTATTACATTCATTAATCTAGTTTATCCAACGTGTTATATTTTTGCCTAAAAAATAAATATACTACTGTTTTACGAAGAAAATATTATCTACAAATGTACATAACATATCTAAATAGGGTACACGAGATAAGTTTATGGGAAATATGACATGCGAGATAACCTTTTGGAACTAAATAGTAGGACATGTTTTCGGGTTAATAAGATGGTCCGGGTTTCAATCACAGATATATGAGAAAATATTATTATTTTCGGTTCAAACAAAAATCAACCACATTTATTACATTCATTAATCTAGTTTATCTGACGTGTTATATTTTTGCCTAAAAAATAAATATACTACTGTTTTACGAAGAAAATATTATCTACAAATGTACATAACATATCTAAATAGGGTACACGAGATAAGTTTATGGGAAATATGACATGCGAGATAACCTTTTGGAACTAAATAGTAGGACATGTTTTTGTTTTTAATTTTTTTTTAAATTTTTTTATGTCGTTAGACTTCACAATTTAACGAAGTAAATTCACAACTTAATATAAGCCGGATTTTTACAAAAATAATTTTTTAATTTTTTAAATCCTCTATTGTAATAAAACAGTACAATTATGTCACGTAGCATTTGCTAAGCCCCTCCCAAGCTACTTTTCCCGCTCAAATTTTCCAACTGAAGTTCCGATAATGCCCTTTGTGCCTCTTAATACCCCATCCGCCTTCATTCTCGCTCTTCATTGGAAACAATTAAGAGTCTCCGACTTTTGTGTAATAAATCAGCACCCAAATCACGGAGATTGTTGAAGATAGTCGTTTCCAAAATTATTTATCAATTTCTTTATTTATACGATTATAGTTATATACCCATTCATTTTAACCCTAATTTTTTTGTTAGAAATTGAGCAGAGTCGCGAATCAATATCTTAATTGATTACAAACTAGAGATCCCATTCAGTCGGCAATCGTATTGCCGCCGTCGCTCCCATACCCTGAGAGATTTAACAGGTGTAATTTTTTTATTTTCAGTCGGGTTTGTGGTTCAAGGCATCTCATCTACGTCTTTACTATAAAGATTTCATTCTATGATGTAGTGTGTATCTCTTTGCTGGAAGTTAAAAAAGGTAAGAGAAACGTTCGATTCGACCTAAATAGATGCAATACTATGTAAACTTAGGTCATGATGGTACCAATGGTGTTCCAGTGATCCCGCATCTGCAAAGGAGATGTAGATCTGTATGGGGTTGTGCTTCAAAATACTTGCACTAGGTCATATATGGTGTTTCATAACAGTCAGTTGAATTTTTTTGCTTCAGGTATATATCAATTATAAGCAATCATTTGGGTTATTCTACATATAATCACACTTTCTTTTATTTTTCAACCAGAGATGTTGTAAAATGTGAAAGTTTATAAGGGGAAAAAAGCTTCATTATTCCCTATAAATTCAGATTTGAGGTTTGAATTCTCATTGTCTGAGTGGGTAGACGGGTTGATGGGGGTATGAGGAAATATTGGTTTGCCCTGATGCACTTCATATGAGGTAACCATCATATTGTTCTCCCTGTTTTTACTAATTTCAAATGGAGTATGAAAGGAGATTTGGTGTTCTTATGCTTTTGTGTATGTATCTAATCTTGGATGAAGCTCCCTGTTTTTCTTCGGTTATGGTCCACCAATAACCTAAATCGAAGGCTACTATGAAGAAAACTGGTAGGCGTTATGGTTTTATTTATTTATTTTTATATATTTGCTAGAGGTTTCACATGGTTAGATGTTTTTATGAAGAAAACTGGTAGGTGTTATGGTTTTATTTATTTATTCTATATATTTGCTAAAGGCTTCACATGGTTAGATGTGTTGGACTTTTCTCCGGTAATTATGTTTTTGTGTTCTTGGTTTCACATAAATAGCCTTTGTTTCAAATTTAGTTTTTTTATTATTATTTCTATGTCAAAATGAAACCATATAATTTGGTTTGTTCATATGTTTATATCATATTTACGAAATTCTTGTGACTAAATGTGTATATACAGGGTAATTTGCTTGGTTTGGGTGATAGAATTAAGCTATAATTGTAAGGAAGAAATGGGTTCAAGAGGTC